AACTTTGCCCTTTGGCAATCGCGATATTTCTCTAGATGTGGGTTAAAGATGAAAGGGGCGACGAAGCGATCCCTCATTCGATGGATACGCGATAGAGGCGGAGGACTTTTGCAACAGGTTTGGCATTCAGGGTAGATTCGAAACCTGTCGACTGGCACACGATCGAATCGCTAATTGCGCTCCTGTCCGTAGCCACGAATATAACGATCTCTCTTATAGAATTTCGCACAGTGCCGCTAGAAAAACGTTTATTCAATTCTTCTATAGTCTCGGTGAAAGATATTATCTCAAAACGCCTTTATATTTTAAACGAAAATCCCGAGAAACACGAAATTGCGCGTACCGCCTAATTATTTCATTAAACGTTTTCTGACTTCATCCTCGATTTAATCGCGTTACGATTTACCGTCCGCAAACGGGCACGAACTTTAATTAGTAGAAAAAGATGTTTCACTCTGAAAACGAAGTAAACGATAAAAAAAAAAAAAATGAAGTGGAGGGTAGGAAAGTTCTCGTAAATTCGGCTCGGCAGTCAATGCGGTAAATAGGGTCGCGCATGAAAATAATCTCGAGAACTTCGAGTTCGTGGCGTGCTCTAAGGGCAAGTGCCCGGGCGTTTCGCGATAAAATCTCGCCGGATAAAAAAAAGTTCTCGTTCATTTCTTTCGCCTCGCGGTGGGTAGCTGGCGCAGACGGTGAATTAAATGTAGTAGAAGCATAAACGGCTAAACGCTGGTGTTCCCACGGGAGCGGTACGAGCGGATTTCGCGACGCTGGGCGGCTCGCGTGCTGGTAAATTTACGAAGCTTCTTCCCCCGAGCGAGTAAATCAATACGCTGTCGCGAGCATCGCGCAATAAAATGCTCTATCCCGTTATTAGTAGCGACGATGTTTCTTTCTCGCTGGCGTGGATCCCATCCCTTTGAGCCTCGAACCACCCCTCTTGATCTCTCGACGCGCTTTCGGTGCTCGGGTGCCCGCATTACGGTTTTCCGCCTCGTTGCTTCCCACTGATTGGCTTCTGAATCGTCCAATTATTAATCTCTCATCCGGTTTTCCGCGGGAACTAAACCGGTCAGGCGGCGTGTGATTGGTCGTTCCTCGAATCGTTGAACCGTGCGTATTAATCAAGTTTTGCGACGGCCACGTGCGACCGAGGCTTATCAATCGGTAACACCTTCCACGCGCTTCCTCGTTCCCCATCGGATTCCAAGTGCGTTAATAAAATCAAAAAGTTCATCGCCGAACAGGCTCCGATACGAAGGCTCAAACTTCGGAAGACGTAAATTCGAAACTTCTGAAATCCGAAGTTTCGAACTTCGGAAATTGAAAGTTTCAAATTAATTTCTGTTTGACAACGAACGTTCGTTGCTGGCGATCGAACAAATTTACCCATTTCGTTACGGTTCGTTCGAATTTAAGCGATCGGGTGTCCCGGGGGTGACTTATGGGCGGCGTTTCACCAGAGACGTTTAGTCGATTCGCGTTGTCTACCTAAAGCCATCCTTTTTGAGTGCTTGGAATAGATCAGTTCGAGGGATTACGAGGGTTATCGAGTCGCGTAAACGTTCCGTCGACGATCGAGCGAAAGGATCGCGTCAACCGGGTTGTTTCGGCGTTGTTTCAGGCGCGGCGGCGCGAAGGAAAAAGTTTCGAAGTTAATCTTATCGATACCCGGCGCGCTCCGTATCGATTGAATGAGCAAAAAGCCGGAACCATGTCTAGGAATGAACCACGTAACGCTGCCAATGCGAGCAATTTCACGCCAAGCGACTCTCCCGGCCCGACTCGGTTTCGATTGTGCCCGCGGATTACGAAGCAATTACAGCCGCTTCTCGTGTCCGATCGGCTAAAGAGCTGACCTTTTCGACATCGTCGACGATTCGTAATTTGTTTCCGACCAGCGGTCACCCAGAAATTACGGATCACAGAGCACTTATTACAATCCTCCCTCCAACCACCAAACTGCTTTCCATCAGAAATCCGATCGATCCAGAGGCTGAGACAAAAGTGTTCCCTGCGGGGAACCTTGTTCGAGAAGACTTCATCTTTTTCTCTTTTTTTTTGTATGTATTTACGTCAACTTGTAACGTATTTTGGAAGAGAGGAATCTGATCCCAGTACCAATTAATTAAGAAGAGCAAATTCTATTCCGATATTCCTCGTATCTCGTCCTCGTTAACGAGCCAGGAATTACTTTCGGAAAATCTTGTCCAAAGTGTCCAAGGTTATTAATTATCGGCATTAGTCGCGGTAACGACGTCACTTCCCAGCCGACTCCTTACAAATATCCTTAAATATTTCACGAGCGTCCCGAGGGAGCATCTCACAGATCGTCCGAGATTTCCCGAGTTTTCTCGGACGTGTGCACTGAAAGAAACTCCATTCACCTAATTACTCCTCGAAAAACAGCTAACTCCTTCGCCTGAGAGAATCTTCTCGCCGTTACAAGGAAGATTCTCGTTATCCTGGAGCACTAAGAAAGAGGATTCGTTCGATCATCATATTAGGTCTACCGGAATGTTCTGTCCGTTTTTAGAATAAAACAAAATAATAAATTTCTCACGGCTTGAATAAATTTTATTGAATAATATAATTTTTATCATTATTTACGACATGTTGCCAGCGTGGTTGCGATTTATATATCATTTTTAACGAATGCGCGCATACTCGTTGAAACTTGTTGTAACCGGAATGGACAGAACTTTCCGGTAGACCTAATACATGCTATAGAAAATAAAATCAGAAATAATTTCCCATAAAGCCAAGAAATTCAATTGAAACAGCTAAAGATTAAGAATTAGCAGAACAATTAGCGCACCCAATAGAAGGGGATTCTTGTTTCTGTGCCGCGTTTCTTTCCCAGTGGAAGAACAGTGGTAATGCGAGGGGATTTCGACGCAGCTCGAGAGTTTCTCAAGTCATGGGGAGATCGGCGAGTTGTTTTTCTTCCTGTAGCTCGAAGCAGCCACGATTTTTCCCCAGCAATGTTCACTGTTCCGCGTGCTAGACGGGCACCTACACAATTACTCGTCCGCGACACCGTTTATTAACTCCTGTTTGGCGGCGACGCTGGCAGGGATTGGTCGTCGACGAGCGAACGGAACGCGAGGAGCGGATTCTTCGGAACGGCGGACCGTAGCCGACAATTTTCCGATAAACAGAGTCCCCGTTAAGCCGGTCACCGTTCCAGCGCATTTACATCGATCCGTTGCGTTGGTACGCGCGACGATAATTCAAAAGGACAACGTTTTTCCAGCGCTTCCGCTTCTACCTGTCGATTGAAAAAATAGTTACGCCCGTCGCGGATGAAACGCGCAGTTCCTCCTACGAACTCGAGCTACAGAGCTGCTTTTACGTTAAGAGGGATGATACATGTCTCGAAGTACGATAACTGAGCTTTCTAGAGCATTTGATCCAATATAGCACACTTAACTCGACGTTTCGTCCCCGTTTGAACCATCTTCGGGAGGAAACAAAAATCGAAAATTTTTATTAGACCTTATTTCCAAGCAAACGTCAATGGTCCCTCCTCGTTTCCCCCATACAAGGAGGAAAGATCGCACGAAGGTTCGTTCGAGCGATCGAATGCACACGCGTTCCCTAATTTTCCATTTAATTAGATTCCGTGGGGCGTGCAACGGCGCGGAACTGCGCGGATGTATTTTCCTCGGGCGTACAAACGAGGCTCGTTCAAGGAACGTTCGAAAATAAAAAGAGCCGCGGTTGGTCCACGTTTCGGTTTAATTTATTTTCCCCCCGGACCGAATACTGCCTGGACGGAATCTCTTGAATAATGAACGTTAGTACACATTTCTTCCCGGCTAAATGAAACAGCGACGGTCGAGGGGAGAAGAGGAATCGCGAAACAAAAAGAGAGGAAAAAACGGTAAAACGACTAGTTTCAATATATCGTCGACCCCCGTGACAGTTTTTAATCGCACAAGTACGTTATTGGTGACTCGGCGTATATCGTATTCTCTCCCTCGGCCTGCGCACCGCCGTATATTTTATTCCTCGGCTGCCATATGCACGACCACGCATAACTTTCGCCTCCGACGGCCGACGAAACCGCGGTTATTCGAAGAGATTCCCTCCGAACGGTCTTGACCATTGGACGGTCGATGCTCGATTATTTTCACCCCGACGAAAAATAATAATTCTCGTTATCGAGTTTGGGGCTTATTTAGGAAGTTCGACTCGATTTCTATGTACAAAATCTCGTATTCAATGGATTTGAGACATTTTGGAAATGGCCTCTTTGCCGGCATTCTCGCGGATTAAATGCAACGGAGATACGTATCGATGCTGTTGCCATCGCGGGATGCGAGGGAACTGGCCAGGCCGCGATAGCCAGCTCGATAAGCTTTTTCGATATCGATTCTATCTTCCAAACGTGTTCGACGAAAGTTTCAATTTGGAGATTGGTGTAAAGGGAAATTCGATATACGCGAGAATGTTCACGCTTTGCGCGGTAAGGTAAACGATTTTGTAGGATCGTTATTTCATTTTAAGAGACCACCCTGATAACTCGTCACACGAAATGGACGTTAACTGCTACTACTTCTATACAATTTCCTTAGTCTTCGGAGTCGTGTGAACTGTTCGTTTTCTCAGAACTAATTCCCAGAGATGACTTTACTCTGGATCAATTTGGTTATTCGTTCCCCCAATGGTGCATCGTTTACGACGCGATTATCCAGTTGATAGAATTTATCGGCGATCTGGGCAGACGAATCACCGTGGATCGAGCAAACGGATCGTGGGGTGATAAACGAATTTACCGAAGTTGCGAATTAAATAACAACTTTGATGAGCAACGGCCTGCTTTAATAGCCGACCGTGCCCGCGTCTTAACTCGTCGAACCGTTATCTTCCCGCTTCAAAATAAAACTTTCCCTTGACGCGAGAATTTCCCGAATTTATCCGCTAATAAACCTTCCCCCACTATTCGCCTCGCACGACTCGTCGTAACGACTTTCCTTGTTATTCGGTTTCAGTATCCCACGGCATTCAGCAATTCGAAGAGACGCCACAGTACACCGAGGTGAACCCTGGCCAGGACGCCAAGCTGATCTGTCGCGTGCTTGGGAAGAGAGGTCAATGCATCTGGCAGAAGGATCAAAAGGTGAGTCGATCTCAGAACTTACCCGCTTCTTAAGAGCGAACCTCCCCTGCTGGCACTAGTCGCGAGATATCTGAAAGATAGCTGAAAGGTCTGGGATAAATTTTGTATATGAAAACGGTAGACTCTGATAAACAGAAATTCATAGAAACGGTAGATAGAGTGATTCTGTGGCTGCGTTTAATCTCGTCGGTTTCAGAGAACGTACTCTAAAAATAACAATAGCAAATGCGAGAGTCGAAAATTGCGATCCTTCGATGAAAAATTAAACAATTTAATGGTACCGAGACGCGGCTCGTAATTGAACAGACGGACGCCCACCGGCGTGCAGAAATTTCGTACAAAAAGAACAACGATTGAAAATATTTTCGGGGCACCGCGTGCAAACTAAATCGAAAATGCAATCCCGGGCAAAACTCGGGGAATTAAAATGCCATCGGTGCGAGTGGATGAAAAAAAAAAAAAAAAGAAATAAAAAGGAAATCACGGCAAAAGCCCCGACGAAATACGTAAAACAATTCGGTGGGGGCATCAGCTCCTCCAAAAAAAAAATGGAAGAGTGGACGCTCGACAGGCATTCGAGCGTCAAATTGATAGCGAAAAAAATAAAAGTTGTTAATTCGGAGAGAACATTGCCTTTCGGGCCAAAACAATCCTGAATATTTTTGAGCTTTTTCCCCAAGTGCCAAACGTTTAACACAAATATTTCCCGTATACTTCAAAAGCTTACAATTTTTGCGAAACGTTCCGCGTTGCCTAGAAAATCGCTAATGAAAGATCGAAAATACATGGACCTCGGAGGGTTGAAGCACACGCAGCGAAGAAAAAGAAATAAATCATAGAACCGTTTAGTTAACAAGGAGTTCTTGTAAGGGCAGCTTTCGGTTCATATTTCCATCAGAAGAAACACGCTTCGCGACGGAGACAGGACGGAATAAAATTTGAAAAATTCGCGGGAACGTTATCTGGTGGTAGAAAAGTCGAGGTAGGGAGACCGTCGCGGGACTTCGTGGGCCGTCTATCGCGATCCCAGCCAGTTCATTGTTACCGTGCGCTGTGTAACCTCCTGGCAGCCAACTTTTCTCCGTTCGCCCGGTGCCAGTAAACTTCGTCCGAGATAAGTTTCTCTGGCCGAAAGTGGACGTTACGTGTCCGCCGACAATAAATACTCGTTCGTCGTTCGCTGCAAGCCGGTCGCCCCCGAGTCGAATGGTCGAACTTAAGTAAAATACTACGACGGTTTTGTGTCGCGTGTACGTCTCCGTCTCCGTGCGTCCATTAGTTTGGACAAAAGAGACGCTTCGAACGACGCGAACCAAAAAGACAATTATAATACCACGAGGATCTCTCGTCGAGATATGATTACTTAGAACTCACTTAAGTTAGCGAATTTAGTTAATTAATGGCGTTCCTTAATAAAAGAATTGGAAAAAGTATAAACTTTGTTGACCCTTTCGACTCTAGTCTGATATAGGTATACACAGTCAGTCCCATGAATACACATATCCTCTATATCTATCGAATGTCTATTCTATATTAAAATATAGAAAAATACCTCACGATTACTTATTTCAATTTTAGTCTCAACTTTTCGTGTTCGGAAATATTGAATCGCTAAAGTCTTGTAGGAGTCTAAACGAAAAATGAGGCACGGGGATTCGAAGCCACGATCCTCGGATCCACAGTCGACCGCTTTACCTACAAGACCAATCCCGTAGCCTACGTTTCGTGTTCCTATTTGACTCCTTATTGTTGGGTATGGGAGGCGCGGACACTACAGTCTATTCAAAATTCTATTTCCAGTTTTAGATCCACCTCTGTTAGATCACCCCGTAACTGGAACGATAATTCGTTTGCGGTATTAATATCGAGATTCGCAATATCGTACGTTAAAAAGAATGAACATCGCATGCGACGAGACAAATGGTCAACCATAGTTTAATGCGATACAATTTCTAAAAGTAAAACGTATAGAATTCCCCAGCGAAAGGGTTGACTCATAGCGTTTGATTCCAAGTTACAACAAGTGCTAGGGAAACCTGTGCGCTTCGAGACGAAAAACATGAACGCCCAAGTGAAAAAAAAGTGGAGATTTATCGAGACGCGACAATAGAACCTCGAATGTTCGAACATTGACAAAAAACGAAAATGGGGGTGGTACAGAACGGAAGTTCGCGGACTGGCGTATGCAACGTAGATTATCGGATATTACCTTTTAAATTAACAAATCCGTCCAGATAGGAACAGCGGGCTCGATAAACCGCGCCACGTCCATATTGGCGGTTGTGTAAATCCATTTTGAACGAGGGCTCAACGTGGCCGGACCTCCGGCAGACAATTGAAAGTCAAAAACGAAAATGTTGTTTTCATTACGCCCGTGTCGGATGCTCGATTCGCTCGTTGTCGACGTTCGCAGAGATTCTACTTTTACGAGGAAATTCGCATCGCACCGGGAAGGACACGTACGCGATACGACACGTGGATTCTTCAATATTTAAGGTCCCCTAAATCTACGGCTCGGTCTCGAAGCGGATCGATCGCGTTCCAGTGTTTCACTCCAGCTAGATTGGAAGCCCAGATTTTTTTCCTATTTCAAAGGGGAATAGATCTATTATTTCGTCATTGCGATTTCTTGGAGCTTCAAGTATAAATTGAAATTGATACGTATCAGCTTTTGGTCTTTTGAGTCGCTGAATTTATAAAGCATTTTCCCTCGAAACTATTGTTTCCAAACTTCGATCGATACTTACAAAAATTTCTTCGCCCGGTATGATGCATCCGGATCACTATTTTTTGTATTTTGACTATCACGTTTTAACGTAAAAGCTGATATCCAATATATTTTTTCGTTGTAATTCCGACCGTAGTATTCGTACCGAGCGCGATACGATATCATGTTTTTGTATTGGCCGAATGAAATCTGAAAAGGCGAGCACGCCGAAAGCCCGTATTTTTGTCCACCGAAGCCCTTCGATTCGCGTGTTTCTTCGGTAAACTAATATTCCCGCATGAAAAATAAATGCAGGCCTTCTCGAAGTACGTGTAAATAAATGCGCAAAGTTTGAAGAATTTATCAACGGTTAACCGCGCGCACTGTTCGCCATCAGAATTTTTCATTATTTAGCCTTTGCGAGTTAAAGCAGGGAACTATTTTAAGAGACTTATTTTAGAAGTTACACGTAAAGAGTTCCGTCCAGTTCGTTAACTGCCAACTGCAAAATTTCCCCACAAATCATAACCGTAACAAAATTATGGACCGTTTAGAGGAGAGTTTAAACAAAATTCGTTCGGCGAGAGGAGCAGCTTCGTAATTAATTCATTCTTTTCGTCTTATGTTTAAAATTCTATATCATGTTTTATTTTCTCTTCGGTCAACTCGTCACAAAAATCCTCTAAACTGTATGATTCTGAAATTCCAATAATGTGTTACAAGAACGCTTGATGTCTGCTGTGAACATATTTTTAAGAAAACAAGTGGAGATATTGTCAAGAGAAAACCTCAGATATCGTTATTTTCGTTTCTTATCAAGGAACGTCTGCCATGTTTTATAATATTTTTCAATCTCCCAACCTCCCGCGCTCGTTTTCGCTTGAATGTTCTTAAGTTTCTCGTGGATTACACCGTGCACGTTCGCGCAAATTGCCGACTGAACGTGTTCGCGATTAAAGCACCCCTGTAACGTCGGCATTCAACGACGGAGCGGACCGGCTATCCGTCTGAAAAATATTTTTTAATTAAATCCGGGCCACCCCTTTCAGGTCGCCTACATTTTTCCCCAGGAAGTCTCCGCGAGCCAAGACCGCCTCGTTTGCGTACAATTGCCTGCTTAAATCCCGCGAGAGGCCGACAGTTTTGTTACCGCCAAGTATTCATCCTGGCCACGCTTTCCTCGAAACGAATCCAACGAGTCGCTGAATAGAGACCGCGGTTGAACCTCCTAGATCACGTTCCCCGAAGGGTCACGACTCCTCGTGGTTAAACGCTACGTCGTTTCATGCCCTCTTCCGCATTGCAATCCGCCCCGTTCACGGGACGCCAACTCTTCAGGCGTGGGTGGCTCGAGGGTTTTTGCTTTCGAGGAAAGGCTTGCCGTGTTACTGGAAAATCTCGCAGCGAGAAGACCATGCGTTGGGTCGATGGATTCATATGGTCACTTCATTCGAATATAGTCAAATTTGTCAAGAATATAGAGAGATTCTTAGTTGAATGTCGTAGAATAAGTTGTTAGCACGAAAGAAATACTGGTGTCGTTCATAGGAGAGCGTGGAAGGGTTGGGTGGTTAATTTAAAAAAGTTGGAACGCCGTTGCCCCAAGGCCAAAAAAGGTACAATTAGATTTCCTGTAATTCTCGATGACCAACGCCTCGAGAACCGAAGGAACCACTCTCAACCCTCTATCTTCAAAAGGGCTGCAGGCTAAGTTCGCGTACAGCCCAGAACTGGTCAATCAACGTGACTCCCTTCGGCTTCGTTTCCTTTCCTCGCTCCCCGGCAAAGGGTCGAAAGTTCCTCCCAGTTTCCAGTACCGTCTCAGGCTCGATCAGGTGCCAGACAGATAAATATACATCCGTCTACCCTGCTTCGACGTACGTGGCGTGCATACTCTCCGCGAAGAGTACCTATGCCGTGGAGAGGTATACGTTAGACCAGGAATGGGGAAACCCAGGTCCTTTCGCATACTTGATCAATTATTCACCTTCTTCGTTCGCGAATTCCCAAAAGACGTTTATTCCAAATTACGTCGATTTAAGTTAGCTTTGAACTCCGAGTTCCCTATCAGAAATTCCCACTTATGGATTTAAGGAGATTTAAGGAGATTTTACCGTAGGTAAGTTTTTAAGTCCCTTGAGGCGCCACCAAACGTTCACTTTAGGTCCTTTTTGACCAGTTTATTTCATAAAATACCAGAGTATTTTATATCTCTTCCAATTATTCCACTTTAATTATAGAACCTTGACTCTCCCACTCCATCCCGGCGTGCAGTTCCAATCAAACCGACCTT